TAAGGTTACCCCCACGACCGGTGTCGTAGAACAATGAAAAAAAAAACTATTTTGCCATGAATACCAATGGAATTAGGTGGTGTTCCTCAAAAAGATGGTGAATCTTCCCCTTGAGACTTATATTCTATGTATGTAGTTCTGCAAGGAATTGGGTCTCTTCCATGTATAAGGGTATAGATTAATTCCCTTTGGGAAGTAGCAACCTGGATGTCTGAAGATCCTGAACTGGAATATGAAAAAAAACACCAGGTCACCCGAAATGATAAATTTATTTTTATTTTGTTTAAAAATATGAGTTTTTCAAGCTCACCTAAGGTTATCCCCACGACCGGTGTCGTAGAACAATGAAAAAAACTACTTTGCCATGAATACCAATGGAATTAGGTGGTGTTCCTCAAAAAGATGGTGAATCTTCCCCTTGAGACTTATATTTTATGTATGTAATTCTGCAAGGAATTGGGTCTCTTCCATGTATAAGGGTATAGATCAATTCCCTTTGGGGAGTAGCAACCTGGATGTCTGAAGCTCCTGAATTGGAACATGAAAAAAAACACCAGGTCACCCGAAATAATGAATTTATTTTTATTTTATTAAAAAAAATGAATTTTTCAAGCTCAACTAAGGTTACCCCCACGACCGGTATCGTAGAACAATGAAAAAAAAATTACTTTGCCATGAATATCAATGGAATTAGGTGGTGTTCCTCAAAAAGATGGTGAATCTTCCCCTTGAGACTTATATTCTATGTATGTAGTTCTGCAGGGAATTGGGTCTCTTCCATGTATAAGGGTATAGATTAATTTCCTTTGGGGAGTAGTGACCCTGGATGTCTGAAATTCTTGAACTGGAACATAAAAAACAACACCAGGTCACCCGAAATGATAAGTTTATTTTTGTTTTGTTTAAAAAAATGAATTTTTCAAGCTCAACTAAGGTTACCCCCACGACCGGTGTCGTAGAACAATGAAAAAAAAACTATTTTGCCATGAACACCAATGGAATTGGGTGGTGTTCCTCAAAAAGATGGTGAATCTTCCCCTTGAGACTTATATTCTGTGTATGTAGTTCTGCAAGGAATTGGGTCTCTTCCATGTATAAGGATATAGATCAATTCCCTTTGGGGAATAGCAACCCTGGATGTCTGAAGTTCCTAGACTGGAGAACATTTCAGGAAAAAAAGGTTCCCTGAAATGACCTTTTTTTGTATTAAAAAAATAAGTTTCTGAGACTCACCGAAGGGGCCCCCCCACGACCGGTGTCGTAGAACTATGCTAAAAAACCTACTTTGCAATGAAAACCAATGGAATTGGGTGGTGTTCCTTTATAAAAAAAAGGTGAATCTTCCCCTTGAGACTTATATACTATGTATGTAGTTCTGCAAGGAATTGGGTTTCTTCCATGTATAAGGATATAGATCAATTCCTTTTGGGGAGTAGCGACCCTGGATGTCTGAAGTTCTTGAATTGGAATATTAAAAAAACACCAGATTACCCGAAATGATAAATTTATTTTTATTTTGTTTAAAAATATGAATTTTTCAAGCTCACCTAAGGTTACCCCCACGACCGGTGTCGTAGAACAATGAAAAAAAACTATTTTGCCATGAACACCAATGGAATTAGGTGGTGTTCCTCAAAAAGATGGTGAATCTTCCCCTTGAGACTTAT